TCATAAGAGAAAACCGGAGGTCCTTGCTTGCCTAGATGACATCAAGATCATACAAGGGAGTGCCACTCTAGTGCAGTCAACCAGTAGACCAAGATTAAAGAAAAGGATTATGATGTTCAAAAAAATCAAGCATGAGTACACTGAAATAACCACCAAGCATAATCTTCGTCACTACATCACAGAACATAAACAACTTAGAAAAGGCTCAACACACGTTACACTCAGAAACTTACAATCAATTTTGTCTATCACACTGTAATCTGCAGCTTTATAGTTACAACAAGTCATAGATCTACTTAACCCAGATCCTTTAGGCTCAAAATTGCTTCATAGCACAATAACTTTTCAGAATATAGTGAGGGAGCAAAGATGAACTTACAATGATGTGTGGCCGCTTTCCAAGGGCAATTTGTTGTTGCATTAGGTCCACCCCTCCAACAAGCTTTCAAATATTTAGAACCAAAATTTAAGCAATCAAAATAAGTTAATTTACGAAAAGTATAAATGAAGAAGCAAAATCATCAAAGTCAGTAAAAAACATATCCTCATAGCAAAAGAGGCTGTCAGACAAAGTTTTCGACAAGTAAAGAATAAATTAAGGAAACAGTCAAAAATGAAGATCTCAATCCTATTTGACAGACAACAAAAACCATTTTAAAGTAACCAACCAGCTAAGGATCAGGTATGCCTTTGACTGGAAGCTTACCACTGCACATTTCAGATTAATTCCAGATCCTAAAGCTTCAAATTGTTCCGCAATTTGAATGGCAAGCTCCCTGCAACAACAAATTACCGATTAAACTGAATAATATTCAACAATAAAAAAAAATAAAATTCCTTTCCACAACTAAATTAAAAGGTTTTTAGATATCAGACCGTGTTGGGGAAAGCACCAAAGCGAAGAAGACGGGTGCAGATTTATATCCTTGTTTCGAATGGCATTCTAAAAGCGCGTGCAGTATGGGAAGAGCAAATGCCCCTGTTTTACCCGAACCAGTTTGCGCAAGTCCAATCAAATCCTTCCCTGCAACGCGAAAATCCAACAAATTAAAAAAAATTCCAATTAAACGAAGTTCCTCAAAACAATTTAGAAGAAAAGGCGGCGAAACCTTCAAGCGCGTGCGGAATGGCTTCGACTTGGATTTTGGTAGGGTTTTTCCAACCTAAACTATCGCATGCTTCCACTAATTCGTCGCACAAGCCTAAATCTTTAAACGACTTGATTTCTTCCTTCTCTTCGTCGGCCATTTTGAACAAGTTTTTACTTGACGGCGCGTGTAGGACAGGGGTGGAGCGTCTGTTAAAGTACCTAGGGTTTTCCTGTTTGACCGTTATAAGAACGAGAAACCCTGTTTTAGGGTTTTGCCGCTAAACGTCTAAATATTAAAAACCCACGAGAGGGGAAGTTGTTTTTTATATAATATATCAATCACATAAAACGCTGCGTTTCGTATGATGTTTGTTTTTCTTTTTTTTTTAAATGTATTTCAAGAACTGAAAAATTCAGTTAAAACAGTTCGGCTAATTCATAAATACATATAATTAAATCAATTAATTCAACCGATTTCGATTTTGAAAAATTTTTTATTAGCGGAATTAACCGATTGCTATATATATAAACCATTTATAAATTATAACAAACATAAACATATTATTATATCTGTTTATATAATAATAACATATATGTGTATATCATATAAAACATATCATAACATTTTCTACAAAATATGGGTTTATATAATAATATAAACATACTATATTATTATAACATATATGTTTATTAAATAATAAAAATTTTTAATTAATTTGATTATCGATCCTTTTGTTTAATTTTCACAACAAATTTGATTACTTCTGTTATAAATTAATTCAATTAAAATAATTTTTTAATTGAATCAACCATTTACGTACCTCTAACCTTAAAGAGAAAATTGATTTATTTAATATAATAACTCCTTAGAAGTTAGGGATGCAAGTGAGTTAAATATACTCGCAATTTTGTACAAACTTGATTCAAAAAATTATTCAAAGAAAATGTTAAAGATTTCTAAAAGGATTTTGTAACTAAAATATTGTTCCTTCTTTATATATATTATATATTCATAATAAAAATTTACTTATTTTAACAAGTGACTATAAGCATCCATCAATCGAACTCAATAATATAGTTACAAGCTATCCCCAATTCTAGGTATTAGGTTATTGGGGATTATTTCAATTATAATTCTATTTATGTAATCATAAAAGCTCAAAGTTTAATTTAACTTTTGACACTTGGTAATAAAAATGCGTACTTCTCAAAAAGATATTCATATTTATTTTTGATTAAAATTAAAATTAAAAAGTAAATGTTCAAGTCTCACGTAAATCTTAAAACATTATAGAAAATTCATCAAGGAGCTCTGAAATTTTTAACCTTGATTACAAGCAAATTAGTGCTCCGTAAGGGAAAATAATTACTATAAAAACTCAACCAGCCGAGTCAACATGGATTATATATGCATGCATACAGATGTAAAAACAATTTAATACATTTTTCAAGAACAATTTTCATATTCAATCTTTTTCGAAAAAATTTTCATTTTTAAATAAGGAAATAGATTTTCATATTAAAATAATGCAACATTCGAAACAAATAATGTCAATATTCATTAATATAGATTCATATTCAATGAAGTAAGATGGCTCTCACCTTCGTGACAAGGTCTAGTTTCAGAAATTAACCTACCTCAAAGAGATAAGTAGAAATCTAGTATGTAATATCATCGTCTATTTGATAAGCCACTTACCTGACAAGCTGAGTCTAACAAGCCCAAGATTGAAATCAAAGTGTGCTTAGGGAACTAATAATTTAAATAAAAATCATAATTAAGGAAAATTCAATATTTAATTTTATGCACATGCATGCACCTAGGCGCCTTTCCTTTCAAATTAACTAATTTTACCAAGCAAATTAACTAATTTTACCAAGCCTTACTTACTTAATTATAAGGTCATGCTCGCCTTCCAAGGTTTATCCAGCCTCTTAACTATAATATTCAGCACTTAGATATCCATAAAAGCCAGAAAATCTTAATCCAATTTTTATCAGTTCATGAAAAATTTTAATAAAATTCATATAATCAAAATTTCTAAAGTTCATGGGAAAATAGATTAAATATTGATCAAAATAAACAAACATATTTTTTAAAATTTGAAATTTCAGAATTTGATCATCATTTGCTCCATTTCGAGTTCTTACAACATGCAAAGATTGACAGTCTTAAAGGCTTTAGTTCTCTTACAACATGTTTAGTTAGGAGAATGGCCCTATTCCAAAGCCTTCCCATACTGCGAACCAAACATTCTCTTGGCATGTAAAGTCGCACACTACAAAAATCATTGACCAAAACAATTACTGGAATGTCGGATTCCGGCAACCTAAAGTTGTCTGTTTATTAGTTTAGAACCCAAAATTAAAATCGACATATCTTCCAATCTATTCAACCAAATCAAAAGAAACTTGATCCATTAAATTCATTAGGCTGAGAAGTTTCTGAGGAAAAGTGAGTGGCCATGGATGGAAGCTTAGGGTTTTAGGGTTTTCCTATCATGCTTGCGACCGAAAACAAGATTAAACCTTCATTCAATTTTGGTCTCTTCTTTTTTCTTTCTAAGGTCGAAAAAGACAATGCATTTATACCAAGAGGATCTTTGTCTTTTGCACTTAGACCCTTCTAAGACTCCTATTCGCACCTAAGTCCCTCTTTGTAAAATTGTATACATTCATAATTGACAACTGCCCCCTCACATAAATTAGCTTTTTTTAAGTGTTGTTTCATATAAATTAATACTCTAAGTAGTGTAATTCAATAAACATTAGAACTCTATTAATTTATTAAAATTCAAACAACAGAAAATTATAATAAAAATTGACGAAAATACTCATATTTATCCATTATATTTTTAAATTATCATTTAAATTTTATTATTAATATTAATAAGATTTATCTAATTTGTAGATATATAAGAATTCAAATAGCATTGAATGGTTTTCATTAAAATGTTTTTCTTAATCCTAATAGTATCAAATAATGTATATATTAAAATTACAAAATTTCACTTATATATAATTGAAAAATTAATTGTCTTTTTATACATAATTGTCGTTAATTATAATTATCTTTTACTTATAGACAATTTTAATTTTTTTAATCTATATATAAGTATTATTTAAATATAAATAATAAAAGAATGTATTCATGTGCAAAACATGTATACAAAGAGTTTGTTCTGAAAAATATTCATATTCGAAGATCAAGCAACGTCTTATTCTGAAAAATGGTCATTCCATGAGCCAAACAATGACTGAAAGAGTAATAGGAATAGGAGGTAAGGTTAACTTAAACCTAAGAGCAGCAGGAAAATGATTTCTGCAGATAAGTGGTCAGCCTTGCTGCTCACCCGAGAAAAATTAAGCAATCCAAAATATATCGCGTTAAAAAACACTGTAAAAAGATTGACTTGATAAGCGAAAGAGACCACACGAGGCTCAAAATAACTTCTCCGGCATGCTATCAGGCTTTCTCAGTCGTGTTCATGGAAAAACTACAACGAAAAATCAGAAATATCTCTACTTGTGCAACTGGGCAAGGATATACTGCAAAGATACAGAACTCAGACAAGATCAATCTAGATTGCACAACACTAAACAGCTAGTGCTTGAAACTTTTCCTTTCACATCTCAGGGGAAGGTGGGGTTTGTGGGATGCGAGTTAGCTACCTCCCGCTGTGCATCTCAAGCCCAGTGAGCTACCATATTGTACCAAAAAGAAATGCATATACAAAATGAAAGAAAAATAAAAGAATGCATGCGAGGACCATTGCCAAAAGTTTGATTTTCCCGTTATATGCAGTCAGTGGGCTCCTTGTAATGCCTTGCCTTCATAATATTCAGATCTGAGATTCTGGTTATTCCAGTCTTTAACAAAGTCTAGAATAATTCCTGTGCAGAATTCGACGAAAGATCAGAGAAAAACACATTTTTGAAGTAGAAAATTCAGAGATATCATATTTAAACTGTATAAAATCCTTTGAATAGTATAGTAAAGCACAGAGTGTACTTTCGAAAAAAAAAAATTAACCACAAGTTCTGGGGATGGAAGCATAATTTGTAGGGCTAAGCATGATTTGATTAAAACCAAAAATTCAAAACAAACCAACTGACTTGGTTGGATTAGATAAGTTGAAGAGTGAAAATTTATTATGGTTTCAGTTTGGTAAATTTTGAAACCAAACCTAATTGAAAATCATATTAACAATTAAAAATATATTAATATATATATATATATTGAAACTATTTTTAATTGTATAAGTTTTTTATATATTTATATTTTCATCTAAAAAATATATAAGTTTTCTTTAAGACTTGGTGATATGTATTTTTTATATATTTGCATGAATGTGGGTTTTTTTATTTGATTTTGAGAATGTTTAATTGTGTAAAAATTCTTTTGGATTTGTTAATATGTCCAAGTACATAGATTCAATTCTACCCACAAACATCTATTTGACATCATATGCCTTAAGAAATGAACTAATATTTGAAGAGATGGTAAAAAAACATATCAAAATCAGGGGCAGCAGTTAATTGATAACAACACTTAAAAACTAAAATTTGATAAAAATAAAGGTTAAATTCTTTAATGTTGAACATGATGGTCACCCTTTGTAATGTTCACTTTTGCGCTTCTCCTTCTTATCCTTGAGTCAACGACAGGGTGTTGTGATATAGTGGTTTTGCACGGTGCAAGAGACAAGCTATGCAGACCAACTGCAGTTCTCAATCATTTTCAGGAAAGAACATTGCTAAACACTTAGCAAACATTCAGTGCAAATCTCCAAATTTTGGTACATGATAAAAGAGAAATAAGGCATTCAACAAACAGAACAGATGTAGCCATGGACCAAATGCAATGCAAAGCCGTGTTGGATAATCACCACAATTCTCAGAAGATAAAATTATCAGAATTCTATTTGCAAGCATTTTAACTCTACAATTCAAATATATAGTTTAAACAAACAACAGCTAGAAAGCCAAGATTCACTGAAACACTTATGTGGGTGAACTGATTGTAGTGAATGTGCGTGCATAACTATCTCAGCTGAGTAGGTTCTTCTATGAATGCTAAAATGAGATAACTAGCATGCACATCTCCGAAAGGTAGCTCCCCCTGCCAAAATATGTTACATAGGTGTGGATAAATTATTTATTACTTTCAGCCTATTAACTAACTATTTCAATTTAAAAGATACAATAACCTAACTCAAATTTCACCTTGCAGAGAAAACAATACTTGTAGACCAGATCTAATTCAAGTGCAGAGTTGGGTTCTCTACAATTCTCAAAAAATAAATTAGTAATAGTTTAACTACAATATTGCATGTAACTCATCCCCTCAATCATTGGAAGCAAATTCCTGCAATGGTCTCTTCTGATGAACAAAAACAAAGTTGAAATTTTAGAATAATGTTCTTCTCTTTTAATTTCAGTCAATCGATAAATACTCTCTCAACTATTGTGTTCCTTCCAATGTTCAAATGTTCACCGACTTTCAGCAGAAGCAAGGAACCTAATAAATCTGTTAAGAACTTAATGCAAATAAACAAATAAACCAGAGGCATCTAAACATGTGGTACACAAATAAATTCACACCTTCACAACCAATGCACAATGAAACACATTTTCTAACGGCATTTATTTTAGAGTGTCTTAGCGCACGTGCCTACAATTGCCAGGTGTACGTGTGCATGACGGTCTCAATTATATTAGGTGAGATGCCACCCTTATCAGAAGGCATAAGGTACTTTACATGCCATATATAGAAATAGCAGATACTTTAAGCTCATCAACATGGCCAAATGCACAACTCAATATTGAAATTTGTTGTTCTCTTATGTAATATTCCCTCCTAAGTATGTTTTACCGTTGTCAATTGAATTCAAAAATGAGGTCACCAATCCAATAAACAGCTCGTCAATTCCTTTCAACCAATCAACCAACAAATCAAAATCAACATTAAAAATTTGAAACTCATTAAACAACAAGAACACGAAGAGTCCTCAAACCATATTCTCAGACAAATAAATAGCTAAGATCTTATCGGTACCTTCAAGTTGGATAGTTAGGTTGCCTGTTGTAACACCCCATACTCTCGTTTAAAAGTTAATTAGACTTTATCGATGAAAAAAAGAGTTATTTGACGTAAGTCTAAGTGTCAAGAGATAGGTAAAAAAAATACTTTTAAATAAAATAATATTTTATAAATAAAATATTAATATTTAATTTATTAGTGAGATTAGTTAAAAGATAGGATTATATGACTAATTTAAGTGGAGAAGAAGGAGAGAAAAAGAATTCGGAAGAAAAACGAGGTTAGAGAGATCTACGTGTCTTTATTAAATAAAGCACAAGTAGGTAAGTATATATTTAAATATTACAGTGACACGTTGATAGGGTACAAATCCTATATTATATTTGTATACATGTCAAGGAATGAAAATAGAAAAAAATTAAAATTTAAGGAACGATGAGAGGGCTTAATAAAAAGTATGAGAACTTTGCAGGGTTAAATGATAATTTTATCATTTAGCTTGGTCAAAAAGCTCCCAAAGAAAGCTTTGACTTTTCTTTCTTCTCTCCATGGTCGCCTATCCCATGTGAGATTGTTGAAAATTGTGCAAATTTATAAATATATAAAAAAAAGAGAGACTAGAAATTTTACTACACATTGACTAAGTGAAAAGCTTTCATTTTTTTCTTTTGATTTTTATTTCTTTTTCCTTTTAACTTGGCCAGCCAATTGGTACCAACGTTTTCTATTTTTTTGTTATCCCAATGAGCTTCCGTAATCTTCATTCTCCATCACTTTATGCATCCTTTTTCTTTCTTATCAAACGCCACTTTTTCTTCCTTGTTCATTTCTTCAACCGTGGCTTCACTTCCAAAGGAAAAATCGTGTATCAAGTCCTACCATTTTTCTTTCATGCTCCTTTCTTTTCTCCTTCCTCCTCATGAATTGTCTTCCCTTTTTCCTCCTCCATAACCGAACCTAAGAAGAGCTTGGTGGTTTGGCTTAGAAATTTCAAGATAAGGAATGTGGAAATTATTAGTTTGGTTGAACGCATGCAAAGATTTAAGAATTCTTTGGTAAAAATTGTTACCATGTATGATTATATAGGCATGGGAATTATTATGAAATTTGGGTAAGAAAGTTGTTGGTTAAATTGCTGTTATGTATACATGCAATTAAGTGAATTGGGTTTGGATGATTGTTAGGAAGTGTATAAGTAGAGGAAGTGCACTAGGGTGGCGTGTCGGACAAGATAACTGGTGATCGACACGTAGTATTAGTTATTTGTACACCTAAATTAATAGCGACCTAATGTCCTACTATAGTGAGGTGAGTAAGGTGTCCATTTTAAAAATTTTCATAACTATGTAAATATATATATATATATATATATGTGTGTGTTGATTTATTTTAATGAAAAATTGTGAAAAGCATAAGTTGGTAGAAATGTTAAGAAATTGTGGATGTTATGACTTTGAATATATATATATATATACACACACACACGTAAAGGTTCTTGAAATTGAGAAACAAGTTTTTAATATGATTTATATCAAGTATGTGCCTTATAGTTTGTGTGATGTGCATTCATGATTGAAACACATATCCACCATGCTAAATCATCTTTCAACCTCATGCAAAGAGTTATATTTTTAAAAGTCTTATGAGGGATCTTATCATGTTACTATGTGAATAATTTGACAATGATTTTGAAATGAACTTTTGATAACCCAACTATATTTTAAAATGGTTTTATCAAACCAGGAGATTCGAGAGTAGGTTGATTGTCACTTCAGTTAAGTGTAACCCTTGTGCACAAGTAAGCTCTAGCTAGAGAAATTTTGGATCACCGACGGATTATTAGACATGGCTGGGGTCACGGTTTGTGATTTTACGTGGCTAGGCCACAAGTTGTGATACATGATTGCGATCGTCTGATTTCTCCAATGTCGGCCAACATCGTTGAGACTGCCATGGCATGTGGGGATCCGGTGGAGCGGAACTCTCGGATATTATTACGTGGAAGCGGGTCCACGTGCTTTTTATTTCTACACCTACTCGAGAGTGATATTTCTTTGGATTTTTCATGTAAGTAATTTTCGCATGATGAAAAATAATAGTTTTTCTGCTGCTCCCTTACTTATACGATGAAATTTAATTTAATTCTTCGTGTACGAGGTGAATTATGAATTTACACATAAGCTTTGTAAAATATTAAATTTTACGAAAGCATGCATGATGACATTAAATTACTTTAAACTAGATGTTAAGTGATTTTCATGGTAAGAATCATTCCATGACTTGAGTTGATATTTGATTTAAATGATTATTTAGCATAAACTTATATTTTCATATAAGGTACAAACCTCCCTTTTCAAGTGAATTATTTACATATATTCTTATAATTTTAATATTCAAATCTTTTGTCTTTAGCTTGTTTCCCATCTACGCCCTACTCAAAGAGTTAATGATCACTGAGTCAATGAAACTCAACCCCCTTATTTTCTTTTGCAAATAAGTAATCAGTTCTAATGCATTGTTCAGCATCTCAAAACTGGCTACAACCTAGGTAAATACATCTCATAGACTTTCACTCAGAGTCGCTGTGCTGCTTAGAGGTCGTGTTGTGTCAAATAGTCAAGCTTATGATAATTAATAGTTTATTGAAAATGTATTTGCTAAAACTTAAAGTTATGTAATGATTACT